GTAATTCCGGCTACTCGGAAGGCTGAGGTGGAAGGATCGCCGGAGCCCAGCAGGTCGAGGCTGTGGTGGCCGGGAGCGGCCACTGTACCCCAGTCTGAGTGGCAGAGTGAGACGCCAACTCAGAAAAATAAAGAGAGAATATAACATAGCAATTTGGATGAATTTAGAGTCTGTCATATTCAGTGATCTATGATAGAAACAGAACTGAGTACCCCATGTTCTCACTCATAAGCTAACCCTGAACAATTACCGGGAAACTGCCAGAGGAGAGAGGAGGTGAGCACACTTCATCAAGAAGGGCACCTGATCTCAAACCAGGTGAAGTAGGGACCAAAGGGAGGCCCAAACTTTACCTATACAATGACCATTTCTATACCTAACCCTGAATTGTTCCCCACATCTTTAAAATAAAATTAATTTGAAAAAAAGAGAGAATATAAAACAAAATGAAAGCCTTGCTATAATTCCTCAGTACAAAAAGAGGTTGGGCGCAAATGGCTCATGCCTTAGTCCCAACACTTCAGGAGGCTGAGGCAAAAGGATCGCTTCAGTCCAGGAGTTTGAAACCACCTGGGCAACATAGTGAGACCCCTCTCTACAAAAAAATAAAAACATTAGCCAGGCAGGGGAACACATACTTGTAGTCCCAGCTACTTAGGGGGTTGAAGAAGGAGGATCGCCTGAGCCCAGGAGGTCAGGAATATGGTGAGCCATGATCATGCCACTGCACTCCAGCCTGGGCAACAGAGTAAGACTTCGAACACAGAAAAAAAAAAAAATAAGCTGGGCTCGGTGGCTCAGCCTGTAATCCCGTGCCTTTGGGAGGCTGAGGGGAGTGGATTGCCTGAGCCCATGAGTTCGAGACCTGCCTGGACAACTTGGCGAGACCTCATCCCCACAATAAATCAAAAATTAGCCAGGCGTGGTAGCGCACACCGAAGGATCGCCGGAGCCCAGCAGGTCGAGGCTGCGGTGGCCGGGAGCGGCCACTGCTCTCCAGTCTGGGCGACAGAGTGAGACTCCCACTCAAAAAAAAAAGAAAATATAACTAATAAGGAAAAAGATATTTAACTAAGTTAAGCTAGCTTTAAAATGAGAATTCATACTTAAAATTTTCTTAAATGTGTATCATATTTTAGTACACTTTTTTTCTGATCTCAACTTATTAACCTAATGGGCTGAGAACAAAGAACAATCTCAGAGCTCTGAGAATCTCAGCAATGTTTTCTTGACCCTCTCCCTACACCCATCAGCTCCTGCTGTTGGGGATGCACCCATTGGCTAATAGAAAAGGGATTTAAAAACTGACAAAATCTGGGAATAAAAACATCAGCTTTCAAAACCAAAGTAGGGCCATACACAGAGACACCCTGAAACCATTTAAGGAATCCTCAGTTTAAAAACGAAGCAGTTGGTAAAATAGTTTATAAACCCTGTAACAGGTACTCAATAAATATCTCCTAAATGAATGCATAAGTAACTCAATGAAATGGAACATAATACATTAATTCCCTTTCAAATACCCAAGCCCTCAAAGACAGGTACAATAGAAGCATGAATCTTTATGGAGTAATCTGGAAGCAAAGGAAAGACCATTCCTCTAAAATCTTCCTCTTGTGGTTCTTCATTCCTCCTGCCTTTCGCCATAAGCATGGAAGGCCAGTATTAAAACAGATACACTCAGGAACGTTAACATACTAAATCACTGCTGGGGATCAACAAGGGCTCACAGGTGTGTTTGCCCCATTATTGAACGGGTCCCATTACAGGAAACCTGAGACCACAGAGCACAAGGCAAATAAAGAGGTGAGAGACAGGAGTAAAGACAAGTCCTAGACTGGAGGCAGCACCAGGAAGGGGTTTTCCAAGCTAGCGTGGGCAAACAGCCATCCACAACCGCCATCCGGGGATAAAGGAAGAATCCCAGACACCATATTACACTTTTGGGATGGAAGAAGGGATGAAAGACAAGAGGAAGGAAGGGGGGATGCAAAAGAAAGAAAAGCAGAAGAAGAGAAAGGGAAGCAGGAAAGGAAGGAGACAGAGAAGCTGGCTGGCTGCTCTCCTAAATACTTCCTAGGCACCAAAAGCCCTGACCTAAGTGCTTACCCTAGAGGAAACGGCAACTACATCACAATTACATGAGTCACAGATCCGTTCAGGTAATGGCTATAGACACAGACACGTCTTAAAAACCAGGTGACAGTCCAAAACAAAGTGGGTGACAGGGGGAGGGAGGAAGTGGGAGGAGAGAGAATATGTGGCTTAAAAGAGATGTAATCAGCAGATCAGCCATGAGGCATACTTTATAGAACCCATGCAAAAATCTAGCACTTATCAAAAATGATGAAATAAAGAAGAATGAACCCTTAATCTGGCCCTTTTGTTTTCTGTGTGCAGAACTTGAAAGGGATGGCAGGATGTTTCCATGTCCAGTTAAAAAGTGGGATCGCATCCAGGTCTCCTCACACACGACAAGGGTTCGTTTGGCCCGAGGATCTTTTATTGAATTCAATAATTTTAGCTCCATAATTCACAAAACAACTACATTTGAGGCAATTGACTTACTGGGTTGTTGAATTAATTTGTAGTGGCCGGAGTTTTTAAGGTTATATGGAACTCGCTTTTCTCTCTTCTTATTTTGATACTCTTCTTTTTCATTTTCGTCGGATTCAGAAGTGCTGCTGCTACTATCATAACTGCTGTCACTGCTGGGGTATTTCTGCCTTTTCATTATCTCAGTACTCTCGGGCATAGAACACAGAGGCTATAAGGAGAAAGATGGGTTATTCTTTTTATTGTCCAGGCTACATTAAAAAAATAAGAACACAATGTGAAATTCAGTATGGCATAAGTTTTTTAGAGGACGAATGCCATGCAGAATTGCAAAACATCCTGTTAGAATATTGTAAAGAGGCTTATTAGCATGATTAGTTACTATTTTAAATGATCCCTTTCTGCTTGTTGCTTTTTACTGAAGGCTGAGAACCCCCCAAAGTACCATTGCTACCGTGCTGCTTAGCCTACAATGCTATTTACTAATTGTTTTGCTTCTGCAAAATAACGCTTTCTTGGATGATATATCTCAGTCATGATGAGGAGTACGGGTGCTGTTTCTATATGATTGGAATAAAGGGTCAGGATGTCCATAAACAAACAAATAACAAAACACAGGAAAAATAGTTGGGAAAAGAAATATAAATGTCAGAAACATGACTGACTTTTCTTTATTCCCTACAGAGAGATTATTCAGGACTCAGAGATATAGCTTTGTTGTGCCATTCACATTCAGCTGCGAGGCACACTCAGTAAATGAGTGCGTGCATGCATGCACGTGCGTGAGAGTGACAGAAAATGCAGGAAGTGAGGATGGAGGGAGAAAAACAGAGACTAGGAGAGCAGCGCCAGAGAAGGCACTTGGTAAGGGAGGCCACATCTTAAAACAGCTCATGAGACCGTCTGCTCAGAAAACGTGTCGCAAGAAGGTAGGTGTTCCACATGGCTATGGATATTTATTAAAAAATTAAAAAGTTAATTATCCAGTTTCCGAATGGGTCATGAGCAAGTCATGTCTTTTCTCAGAGATTTCGGCACATAGGTTCCGACTCTGTCACGTAGGTTTTGGCCATCATGAAGTAACATAACTTTTCATTGTCCATGCAACATTAAAAAAACGATAACAATACAATGTGAAAATCAGTATGGCATAATTTTGTTAGAGGAT